GACGGGAATGGCCCGGCCCACGCGCCGCTCTCGCCAACGGCTTTTTACCGGGCCCACGTGACGCCAATGGGCACCGTCGCTGGCCTCGCACCTGCCGCGCGCCAAGATGGCAAAGGGGCAGTGGGAGCAGGTCTGGGTCCCATCCGAAACCCGCCGCCCCCTGGGGAAAATAACCAGTAGGAGAGCTAAAAATGGATGGGTTACGGGCACAGGCAGCACCTGTGCCGTGTTTCGAGCTGTAAAGGGGCACCTGGAGAAGGTGCTGAGGGCAGGAGGAGGGGAAGGCTGGCCCAGAGCAGGGTTGAGTTTACCCCCTCAGTCCACAGAAACTACAAAACCGAGGATCCAGAGAGAGAGAGAGAGAGATGGGGTTTAGGGCACAGCAAAACATCTCACCCTACACACTAGAAAGCTTCATTCCCTGGGCTGAACTGTGGCCCCTGTTCTGCAGCAGGGTGCCATGTCCGTGTCTGTCACTGCCCTCTGCCCCAGCAGGGCTGCGCTCAGGGAACAGCTTGGAGGAGACCCAGTGTACCTGGAAGAGCTTGCAGCACTTTCAAGGTTGCATCCAACCGATCGCATGCTGGGTTCCAGAAGCCCTCCCAGCAGGGAAGCTCCATCATTAGACAGGGAGATCTAGGGATCTCCCAGAGCTCAGTGCCAGGACTCCACAGCCGGTGCTGCGCATGAGAGAGGACTAAATTGTTATCCTAGGCCTTCCCGATCTCCAAAATCTACAAATCGTTGCTACCTCACTCTACTCCTAGTTTGCCCAGTGCTGCTGCTTCAGCAGTGCATGTCAGTCACCATGGAGAGACAGCATGAGACCAACCCTGCCGAGTCGGGCCAGGGGAGATTCGCAGAGAATCAGAGCAGACCTGGAGAAGACCCTTCCCCACTCCCAGTGCCCATAGCCAGAGCAACTAACTGTGAGTTTAACAGCATTTGATAAATCTTCCTTCTGTGGACTTGCTAATCCCATCTGAAGCTGGACAAACTTCTGCTAGCCCCAGCACACAGAGCTCCCACTAAAGGAGAGGGAGCAGTTTGTCCTGTCCTTAATTCCTTATCTTGGAACAAGCTCTTACCCCAGGGTGGGACTTTCCCTCCTTAGCTCACAGCAGACTAATTCTTTAAAAGCCTTTGGTGAAGAACTCCATAGACAAGCAGGTAGATAATACCAGATCACATAACCTTGTAGTGGCCAGAGCACCTCTCCCAGAGGCAAGCAGCCTACATTCTCCTATGCCTGGCAGGTCTGAAAACACACAAGAAAGAGGTGCAGTGCCCGGTTCTTGCTTTCCTTCAATAAATCCCAAGTAGCTCAAGGTGATTTAAGATGCTGCAGCAAGGAGAGCAACAATACCAACTACTTACTAGAGAAGATTAAACACAACAATAAAAAGAGAAATAGCT